GGCCCCCCACACCAGATACACACTGGTTACACGAGAGAAGGTGTTTCAGAAAACACAGGTGACATGAAGAGGTGCAGCCATCCCTCAAAGCACAGTGCTGGCCTCTCTGAGGGTACAGCCTGTCCTAAGACAGGTTGTTTTGCTGAGCTGCTGCTCACGACGCTCCTCAGCGACCCAAACTTTCCCCAGCGCTCCGAGCCCTGTATCCCAAGGGACACGGTGAGCCCCGTGTGATACACGGCCACGGCAGACACGTGGCAGCCAGGGTAGAGCTCCACGGCCTCGGGAGAGAGGGCAGCTGTGCACAGCCCGGCCTGCCTGCAGGGAGCGCATCCCGACCCTCACCCGGCTGGGCATCCCCACGCGCGGGGCAGGGCTCGGCCAGCACAGCCCCGGCTGCCGCTCCCGCACAGGAGCTGTGCCCGTGCCTGTGCTCCGGGGAGCTCTCTCTGCTGCACCTCCCCTGCCCGCGGGGGGCACAGCTGCAAACTTCACCGAGCTTACAAAATGCAACTGCATCCCGAGGTAAAAAAGCCTCGGAACCTCGAAAGAGACTGAAAAAGTGAGACTATGGCCAAACACCTGGGCTTACTCTGCTCAAGATACTGTAACTTTTCTATTAAGAAGCAAAAGCAATTTACTTCCAAATTTTTCTCTACAACTGGCACATCTGCAGCTTTCCTTCACCTGAATAAACTGATGGCTGCTGCCACCCTCATCACAAATCTCATGCTTCTGCATCTCCGTAGTCTCCTTCTTGCCTCTGCCATCCCATTTCCCCAATCAGTCTATTCATTCACCTAACCCTTCCCAACAGATGCAGCTTTCCACACTTCGTGTACTTCCCTCATTTCCTCCCCACTCTGCCAGCTCCAAATGCAGTTGCCGTGCTCTAATTCATGTTCTTAAGCTCTTCCTTCCCATTTTCTGCACGGCTGCCAAAGTCCCAGCAATCTCCTCTCTTTAGCTTCCCATCCCTCCTCTCGGAGGCACTCTGTGAAACGGGACTGTCACTGAGCCTGGCAGCAGCACAGACCTCACATCCCCTGCCCCCAGGGCTCACCCTAAGGCTGTGCCTTCCTAACACCCATCCAAGCACCACCTCTTCAGCTGTCTGCTCCAGCCCCCGCCTGCTAGAATGTCCCACACACAGCTCCCAGCTCTGCTCATCTGGCTGCTGAAGATCAGAGAAACGGTAACTGCAGAGCCAACACATCCTTACCCTGCTGAGGAAAGCACAACCAGGTTACACACAGGTTTACAAAAGCCTTACCAACTCTCAATCAACTCCCAGGCTTCAGTTAAGAACCAGTGACATTTCAGCCAGAATACCTCCTTTGTTTCAGCTGCAAAGATGATCACTGCCTGTATCTCCATCGCTACAAAAGTTCACTCTTTGAAGGATTCCTCCGAGAACATGTGGAAAAAAATTCTCACAAATACAACTGCCTGCTTGGCTTGCAATGACTGAGACAGGGGAAAAAAAAGCCAGACCACTATAGCCCTCCTGAGATATCCACAGCAGCTGTATTTCAGTTTCCAAACAGAATGGTGAGATTTATTTTGCACTGTAAAGCTTTAAATAGTTTGGGGGCACAACCATCTCCAGTTGCAGTAACCCAAGGAACTGACTTACAGCAGGAGCTGCTGCTGGCAAGGCAGGCCTGTGTGAAACACATCCTTCTGAAATTGGTACCCTCAGATTTGAAGACCTGCAGCTCCCATCAAAGCCACGAGAAACAGACAGATTTCTGGCAAGATACTCGATTGTAGTTCTTCATTTATTATTTACAGAGGTACTTAAACACTTTTATGAGAGCCAGAGACATTCTAGCCACTGAAGGCAGTGTGTTAGGAAGACTGTTCTCCACACGTGGAACTTCAGGATACAAATGCTAACGCCGTGTGAACAAGTGCTTGTCCCTTCCATCGCTAGGCACGGCCCTCCCATAACCCTTCCCTGCTCCTGCCACGAGCACCGCTGTGCTGGATCTGAACTGCCAGCACGGGGACCTGTGTCTGACAGCAGCACAGGCACCAGGGGCACAGTGAAACACAGATGGGAGAACTTTCACACAGCAGCCACGGCCCAGAGGGCTCTGCTGGGTACCAGAGCCTGCCAGCAACAGATTTGTTTCCTTGTACTATCGACATCTTATGCTGGACACAGTTTGCCCCATAAACGCCTAACTTTTTAACCTGTATTAAAAAAACCTTCTTTGTCATATTTACGTACTCTTTTACAACCACTTTCATATAAACTAAGCAGCTAATTACCCCCTGCTTTGAAAGCTGCTGCTGAAACTGAGGTATGGTGCAGGGAAGCTTCCTGAGAAAATGAGGAACACAAGGCTTTTAGCAGGTATCAAAGGCAAATCCCAGGGCTGATGTGACTGAACACCACAGATTCTACACACAACTCAGACTCTGGAGGTAACAAAACCTATTTCACAAAGCATTGTTAGTACTTCACCTCAAGAAAGAAAAAGGGTTGGTTCTTTAAAAGAGCTGAAAGGTCACAGTTACCTAATTTCACTGAGAAAACCAAACCCGGGGAAGAAAGTGCCCTTTCAATGGCTCTGGCTGGCCCCCCATCTGTTCTGGATTACTTCCTCACTCCCCACTTCCCAGCGGCTCCCACACAGCCCTTCCCTGAGCCCGTCCTGAGGCCGGAGGTGACTAAGCCAGACCCAACCCCTGCACACCCCAGTGAGCCCCAGGAAACCTGGGAGCCTCCCCAAACCACCTCTGCAGGCACCAGCAGCTCAGCTGGACAGGCAAATGAAGCCATGGAATGGATCACTCAATCACTGCTCATCCCTGGAGACGACTGACGACAGGATACAGAACTGGCACCAGGCACAGGAAGCCCTCAGCTGTCCTAAGGGATACGGTGACTTGGGAACACTCACTAAAACTTCACGCAGCAAAGCAAAGTGGTCACTCTGAAACCTTGAAATATTTCACTTAGATTCCAGCTTTAAAAATAGAAGAGTGTTACCTCCATGACTGATTTTCCTTTAAATAAATGCAAATGATCTATCCAGGGAAGGCAGACTCGAGGGCTAGAAGGGCAATTAACATGTTGACACATCATCTTTAATTGTTTCTCGGCCCCTCAGAACCCGGTTCCGTTCGCTCCTCGGAACTTTCACATCACACATTTGCTTCTCTATTTACTACAGATTCCTCCTGGCACTGTAGGGGAGTAATGGAGCACCCAGAGAGCACCAATCTGCATCAGAGAGGCATAAAACATCCTGCTTTTAGTGACCCAGAACAAGGAGCAGCGCTGCCCTCGGTCTGCCAGGCTGCCATGAGCCCCAAGCCCCAGGTTTTGGGATGCTTCCCACCCGGCTTCCCATTCCACACAGAAATCCCTGATGGGAAACTCAGCCCAAACAGCTTCTGCTCTGGGGATTTAAACAAATCTCCTGGAGAATCTCACCTTCCACACCACACGAGAAGGCAAAACCTCCACGCCTTCGTTTAGGGATGATTTCCAATGGTTTTAGTGGAACATTTCCACTCAAACACAAGAGTTTCTGTGCAAGCCCTCACTAAGGTCAACGTGAAATTCAGCTACCAACTACATTTTGCAGAGTACCATTTCCTGCGAGAAACTACAGAACTGTTCATCTTATTAAAATTTTTTACATATATTCATTTCTTGTGAAAGAGAGAAAAATTTGTTTCTTAAACCTCCTCCTACATAATGAAACTCTTACTAACCCCACACACATTTGCATGGATCAGCATATTTTCCAGCTCCAGCTGTGAATGGAGGGTACAACAATTAACAGCAAAAGTTCCATTTGCTTCCTCCTGCTACAACCTGGCCCCAAACAGGAGAGATTAAAACACGAGAGCACTTACAAAACAAGAAGGAAGAAAGCAGAGGGAGCCAAACCTTGTAGGCCCAAACGCTATTTGAGCACCTCACACAACCCCCCGCAGAGGGGTGTCTGTGACCCACAGCTCCAGGGAGGGGAAAAAGCCACCAGAAGTCACTTTTCCCCTCGGGAATTTCACAGGCATTGTCCTGGAGGAGCCTGGTCCTGTGAGGGACCCCAGAGAGCAGCCCCAGCCTTGCGCTCGCTGCTGCAGGGCACTGATGGCTCTGCTGACCCCCGGGGACCCACAAGGGCCAGGGCTCCCCAGGAACAGCTTTTAAGCCCTTGGCCTCAGCAATCAGTAAAAATAACGACAGAAACACCAAGGTTTTTTAGGTTTCCCCTTTATCTATGTTCGTTTTGCTTTTTGAGGCCAGGGAACAAGTTTAAAGAAAGTTCGGATTTTCCAGATCAGGTAATTTAGCAAGAATTTGGCCAAAAAACCCATTTAATGTCTCCACTGAACCCAGCTCACCTTCAGAGTGCCTTAACAGCAGATTACTTGCATTCTGCCCCTCAGTTCTGGAGAACCGCATGGAAACTCGTGTGTGAGACCAAATTATGCCGAGCACAAAAAGCAGTTACGCTCGTGACAAATAAATTAGGAGATATTTACCGATTATTATTCTCTCCCAGCTCCTAAGTGAATTTAATTCATGCCTGAAGGCAGCAAAACGAGGGGCCCCTAATATTTGACTGAAGAGACCTAATTTCCTTCTATTAAAGCAAAACCATCTCTTTGCACCGCTGCCATCAGAGCGCCTCTGCACTACGGGGAATTTAGCGGCGTGAGCGTTAATTGGGAGTCCAACCCGCACGCAATTAGGTGATTCCGTGTGCTCGGCGGGGGCTCCGGTGGGGCGCGGGGGCCGGGGGGGCCCGGCCCGGGGTGCGGGGGCGGTGGGACCGAACCCCCCTCCCCGGGGCGTTCCGCTGCGGGCCCGTGCGGCGCCCCCGGCCCGGCGCGGCCCCCGCGGGGTTAATTGTTGTTAGCGATTCACCCGCGGGGAGCCCCGGGGGGAGCGCGGCCCCGGCTCGGCCCCCTCAGAGCGGCGGGGCGGGACCCGCGGGGCCTGGGGCGAGCGGGGCGCGGGGGGGGTGACTCACCATGAGCTCGATGGTCTTGTCCTCGATGACCGAGTCGGGCTCCATCGCGGCGGTGGCGCTGCCCTGCCCGGCCCTGCCCAGCCCAGCCCTGCCCGGCCCGGCCCCGCTCGGCCCAGCCCGGCCCGGCCCCGCCGCCGCCCCGCGCCCGCCAGGCCCGCTCGGCCCGCCCGCCCCCGCCGCGCGCACGCGCACGACACGGCGCACGCGCGCCGCGCCGGGCCGGGCCGCGACGTCACGGAGCGCGCGGGGAGCGGAGGGGGGCGGGGCGCGCGCGCGCGCGGGGGTTGACGGGAACAGCCCCTCAGAGCCCGCGGGGGGGGGAGCGGCGGGAACGGGAACGGCCCGAACCTCAGGGAGCGATAGGAACGGGAACGGCCCGAGCCCGGGGGAGCGATAGGAACGGGAACGGGAACGGCCCGAACCTCAGGGAGCGATAGGAACGGGAACGGCCCGAACCTGGGGGAGCGATAGGAACGGGAACGGCCCGGCTCCCTCAGGGAGCGGCGGTACCGACACAGGCGGGGCTGTCCCGGCCCCCTCGGAGCGGCCGGGCCCGAGCGCGGCTCTCGGTGCCCCTGCCGTGTCCCCGAGCGGCCCTGCGGGGCTGTGGGTGCCCCTGCCGTGTCCCCGAGCGGCCCTGCGGGGCTGTGGGTGCCCCTGCCGTGTTCCCGAGCGGGGCTGTGGGGCCGGGCGGGAGCGCAGGGTGTGGGGTGTGTCTGTGTGAGGGGCCGCCCTGCGGTTTGTGCTCAAAACCGGGAATCGAAAGCGCTGGGAAAACGGCTTTGAGAACCCGCGTGTGCTCGCCGCGAGTTCCTGGCACAGGCTGCCCAGAGCAGCTTTGGCTGCCCCTGGATCCCTGGAAGTGTCCAAGGCCAGGTTGGACGGGGCTTGGAGCAACCTGGGCTGGTGGAAGTGTCCCTGCCCGTGGCAGGGAGTGGGAATGAATGTAAGGTCCCTTCCAACCCAAACCGATCTGGGATTCCGTGATGCTCCCTCTGCTTCACCCTGTCCTGCTCCACTGCCCTCCCACCTGCCGTGGCAAATTCACGGATTTAAATAGATGACGCTTTCCTGTTCTCAATAAATTAATTCTATCCCGGGCAGTTTGAGTATCCCACTACAGAAGCAGAACTGGCTGGATTTCATTTTCCTGCTCTGCACCCACACCAACACAGGGAGGCTGAAATCTTCCAGCGGCCGGTCCTGGGAGAATCCTTCCCTCGCTCCGGACTGTGCCCAGGGAGGTGGCTCTGGGATCCTTCTGGCTCTCCCAGAGAGGGAATCGCCCTCTTGGTGCCAACCTGAGGGCTGTGCCCACCTGATTAACACCGATAAAGCCCTGGAGGGAGGACAACGGAGCTTCAGGGGGTGGGGAAGCCTCGGCAGCGTCACAGCCCCAGCGGTACCGGGCTGTGTGAAGGGTCGTGTTTTCGTGAACAGTAGACCTTGGGTGGGTTTGTAGCTGTCCCTGTGAGGTGTCCGAGCAGCTCTGCCCCAGTTCTGTTTTCAGCAGAGCTGGGAATGAGCCGCTGAGCCCAGAACGCCTGTTACAAACCCCCGAGATGCAACACAGGATGATACCTTGGGAAACAAGACACCTCCCCCTCGGAGTTCCTGCACAGCCCACGGTGTGACGGGGAGGAGGTGCCACCACCTGGGACTCGGGTGGAAATATGGAGAAGGAATTGTTGGCTGTGAGGGTGGGCAGGCCCTGGCACAGGTTGCCCAGAGCAGCTGTGGCTGCCCCTGGATCCCTGGAAGTGTCCAAGGCCAGGTTGGACGGGGCTTGGAGCACCCTGGGCTGGTGGAAGGTGTCCCTGCCCAGGGCAGGGGGTGGGACTGGATGGGTTTTGAGGTCCCTTCCAACCCAGATCAGTCTGGGATTCTGTGATCTCCCGAATCACGAGCTGGTTCTGCAAACTGTGCTGTCTATTTAATAACCAATGTTATTTAAAGAGCCCCAACCTCAGCTGGCATTGCTGGCTCAGATTGTCCTGTCTGTACCTTCAAGCAGGATGCCTGACATGGGATTATTTACCCCAGTCCCACTGACAGCAGGCACAGTATCCAGAAATAACCAACGGGCCTTGCCAGGGAACACCTCCCGTGCAGGTGAGATGGACACAGGGTGGGGTACAAAAGCCTGTAAAGGAGATGTGCCATATTTGCAAGGAGACATGGAAACACCTGGCTCAGGTGGTGGCATTTCCATCTACTTAACCTCAGGCTTTGGCAAGGAGCAGCTTTTTCAGCCTTCGGGGTCTGTATCCTGCAGGCAAACTGCAGTGCCCCCATTGCAAGGAGCACCAGGAGCCAGGGCAAGATGGGAGACACTTGGGGGCTTTGGGGACCAAGGACACACAGGCTGCCAGCAGATGACACAGCAGGGACCAAATGCAGCAGCAGGCATTGGAATTTGGAATCCAAACTGTCCTAACAGCAGCATGGTGTGACAGCACAGCACTGGGCTTGCCATGGGAACGGACCCAGAGCTTCCTGCTAAGCGTTTTTTAACGTTACCTGTTTGAATCTCTGCCAAATGGTAGAGAGATGGACAAATGGGAAAGGTGCAGAGTCCTGTCTTATTGACAGCACACCTGCCTCCCAGGACACTGGTGTCAGCAGAAATGCCTTGAATCCGTTCAAAATTGCATAGGACAATGCTTGTCATGAGCTCTAAACCCTTTTTGTAGCATTGAAAAGGAAAAGCAGGAGCTGCAAGTCTCCCCCCTCTCCCCCAGCAAACAACTGCTGCTGCTCCAAGTCTGGGGGTGAAACTTTGATGTACCCCAAAAGCAGCCCCATTTACATTCTCCTTGACAAAGCCAACACCAAACATGCCACTGCCCCAAAGTCCCTCTGAGCGGGGCCATAAAGTGCCTGTGTCAGCCTGGGCTGTGTGAGCACTGTGACCTTCAGTGGACAACACTCTATTTCCAGGTGAAAAAACATCCAAGGGCTTTTCCTGGGCACCTGAGCTGAATCCCTTCCACCTTCACATCACGGCCTGGAATGAAGGACTTGCAGGTCAAATCACTCCCGTTGTGTAACTCCCCTCAGCCAGCTCACTGAGGTGTCACCGAGACTGAGATGGGACAAAATCCAACCTCTTCTGCTCTCCCTGTAATCAGACGTTCACTCTGGACATCACCCAAGGCACCAGAGGTTTGTTTGTGACACCAAAGTAAAAAATCAGCATGTCCCAGTCTAAATATACACAGAATTGAGATTTGCTGACCAGCACAACGCTCTTGGTGCTTTCCAAAGTACTGCTGTACAGCCAGGCTGGTGTCCTGACCATGGAAAGGATTGCCAGGGCATAGGAAATGAGGAAAACACGAAAAAAAGACAAAAAAATGGATAAAAAAGGGGGGAAAAAAATCTTCCATTCATTTGCAGAAAGAGTAAATCCGTGTCTTATTCTGGCAGCTGATGCATCGCACCGATGGATGGTGCAGCAGCCCTGGCTCTCGCTCTGTGGCAGGAGATGTCAGCTGGAACTGGAGTTCCTGTAATCTGCTTGTAACAGTGACAAAAACAATCCCTATGATATGAGAGAAAGAGAAAAATGTTGAAATTAATTAAGGAAAGCATTATAAAAAAAATCAAACGTTTTGGCTTTAGCGTGGAACGCCAGGAAAAGCAAGAGAAGGGATATTGATCCCTGTGTCTGTAAATTCAAATTGTTTCTGAGCAACTCATGAGTGACATATCCAAGACCTGCTAAGATGGATGAAAAACTAGGTTTTTGATAATTTTTTCTAAGATACAAACTCACTGAGAGTCAGCCATGTGAGGAGCAGCTGAGGGGGGGCTCAGCCTGGAGAAAAGGAGGCTCAGGGGGGACCTTCTGGCTCTGCAATCCCTGCCAGGAGGGGGGAGCCGGCGGGGGTCGGGCT